AGGTTGGAGTCATAGGGAGGGGGGTGCCGTGCGGGTTGGGACGGGCAGGTCTGCACTGGAGTGTGAAAGGGGTGAGTGGGGCGCTCAGGGTGGGGCTGCCACAACCTCCTGCTTGGGGGAAAGCCCTGCTTTTTTATTCTGCTGTTGCCTGTGAGACTCCCCAGCGCGCAGACCCAAGGCCCTCTCAAAGCTCTGCCGAATCACCCCCCTCCTGCTTGTGCTGCAGGGGAAAGATAAGTGCAGTAATGCACACAAGGACAATGGCAATTTAATACACCAGCACAAATCTGCTCGAGTCTCCTTGCCAAAAGAGTCCTATCCAGATGTCCTAGCCTGCCCAGATCGCAGCACAGTCCCCATCACGCACTGTGCCACCAGAGACTGCCTGTTGCCCTCTCCGGAGCCCTGCAGACCACACGGACGCACACCACTCCCAGACAGCATCTCTCGTCTCAGCTGCTCCATCCCTCAAAACCCGGCAGGGAGAAGCAAGATCCACAGAGGAGCTGGGAGCAGAGCCCGCCCGACAGCCCTTGGGTTTCCCCTTGTCCCGCACGCATCTGCCACCTCTCTCCCCTGGGGAGGACCTGGAGCCCAGGCACTGCTCCCCCTCCACGCTGCGGCATCCTCACGCTGAGAGGTCCACCCCAACCCAAATGCTTTCAGGGTCACCTGGATTCAAAACAAACCGCCTGCACATCTGCCTCCCTAAAACCCGAGAGCTCAGCGACTGCCAGGGAGGCACCCGACCTGTCCCCTCCAAGGACAGGGCGCATCTGGCCTGACCGGTCTCTTGCAGATCAGCCTGGCGAAGCCTGCATGGAGGATGCTCTGCTCGAACTGGAAAAGGGCAAGGAAACGGCTCCAGACAGGAAAGGGGCGGCAAACCCTCAGGGTAAGCCCCAGCTTTCAGGGATGAAAGAACTGGAGTTTCAGAGGCAGGCCAGATACTGCAGCAGAAGGGGAGCCCCAAACACAAGGCTGTGAGTGGGAAGAAATCTCCACCCCTGCACTTGGGGCTCACTCCAAGCTCAGCCCGTGCTCCTCTGCATGGTCTCCTGCCAGCTTTGGCTTCGGGGAAGCAGCCGGCATGAACTGAGCTGTACTTCTATTGTTCCTCCTCCTCTGCTGCAACATGAGCTCACCGAGAAAGAAGCAACAGGCAGCTCAACTGGCAGCTGGAGAGATGGAAGTGAAAAGGAGAGCACTGTGTTGTAAGGACACGAAAGGGCCACAGGCGATCTAACCAGTCTGGTCCACAATCCCGCCCAACAAACCCCCCTGTAGCAGCCTGGATTTCTGCCCTCGCCTACAGAAGTGACAGCCCAGCACCCACCCTACAGCAGCGCAGGTCTCTCTCCCTGCAGAGCACATGCAAGCTGTCTGGGGCTGCGTGCCCCTACCCGTGCACAAACCTCCCTCTACTTTGCAACCCAACGCGCGCCGGCTTGCTTGACAGCAAGGAGCAGGCCATGAAAGGGAGAAACAGCGGAGCTTCAAATCCTTTTGGTGCTGCTGCTGAGTTTTCACAAACCACCAGGTGATGGACAACACGCCCTCATGATACTTAAATTCTCTGTAAGCCCTCACACATACAGCCAGCAAGCACCCTTTGCAGCGCTTTTCCTCACGCTGCCAGTTCTTGTAACGGCTTCATGCCCAAGGGGCCAGGAACGTCACGCTCAAAGGCCAAACCTGGCTCCAAATGCCATGTAGGGCACTTCTGCCATCCCACCTACAGACCCTCACTTCAGAGCTGGGTTAATGCTGCCATTGCCTGCCTTATTCACTCCCTCCTTCAGGAGCTATGCATTTCGTTTCTTGAATACGGCTCATTTCTTCCTGGGAGCAGGAAAGGACTGGAGTGTTCCAAGCTGCTGATGTATCCGGAACATTACCTGTGGGCCACGAGGTAGCCCTAGGGGAAACGACTTCGCAGCCACAGTAATACATGCAATTCAATACCAGCGCTGCCACCTATGCAGTTACCACTCAGCACAGATGACACCTACAAACACTACACACTGCAAGAATGCCAAGGAGAGACAGCCTGAGCGCTGCTGAAATGGCAAACTGGCACACCAGGAGAAGCTCCAGCACCCTGTCCCTTGAGGGTGGGGGATTTCACCAAGCGAAGAGATTAATGAAGCAATCAGGAAGCCACTATTTTACCTTTCTCACCATAACACACTTTAAAGGCTGACATATATCGATTGCTATGTCTGCACCTGGAACCTGTCAAACAGAAAGGTCACTCTGACAAAGAGGGAGCAGGGGTTTAAGCGGAAACCAGAATCCCAGCATTAACTTACAATCTGGAAACACACGCTTGCTCAATTTGCCAAAAGACCTCCAGAAAAGCCTTCTTTAGAGTGTTCTTTCATGGATCAGCAGTGGAAATTGCTCACCCCAAACTCACTGGCAGATGGGTCAAGGCAGGAACCTGTGGCTAGGGGTAAGGGAAAAGAGAAAGCTAGGACTAAGACATCCAGTAGCAGCCTGATGTCACATTAAGGCGACTACAGAGCCACAAACCTAGACTAACAACGGTCTCAGGTGTTCAGTCGTTCAGGGTTCTGAATGACCCCTCCTGAAGAAGTCCCGAATATTAATCTGAAAACTAGTATCTGCTTTATCAGCACAGGTCTGATCATGGGGACGTGAGGTCTGATCCGAGCTGACAGATGAAGGCACCTCCCACATCACCCTGGCTCCTCTCTGGAGCTTATCCAGCCAAAGACCCAGCAATGACACAACATGACCCTCTGCAGCCTGCAAAACCAGAGAGAACCACAGCAGTCGCTGGTACGACTGCCGGCATTGCATTCACGGAGAACATCAACCACCCGCTCCCAGAGGCTGCCTGGGACATGGAAACAAAACACAGAGAGCGCGCAAATGTGGTGCTGAGGATGTTCTGAGGAGCTCCCCTCTTCTCCCCCATCCTCTTGTGAGTCATAAAACCACAAACATGATGCAAGGCTCATTGAACTGACAGCTAAGATTTGCGTAGCTGTAGTTTGTTGAGCAGCGGGGAGGCAGAGAGAGGTGAAAACCACAGACACTTACATGACTTGTTCTGTTAGGGCATCACTTGATGATTACTGCTCCGCTAAAGAAGAATCGGCTGCTAGAGCATGATTTAAATGCCCTTTAAATGTCCTCCTGGCCACCCTAAGCTGTGGCACAGAAGTTCTCTTCTGGAAGCTGTTATTAAGGATTTCTCTTTCTCTCTCAGTCTCACACACATACGCGTGCACAGAGATGTGCCATGAAGAAGCATACTACTCCAGGGACCATAACCAATCAACGCTGTTTCCTAGGGAAACAAGCTAAAATTATGAACATCACCAACCTGATTCCAGGGACCATAACCAATCAATGCTGTTTCCTAGGGAAATAAGCTAAAATTATGAACATCACCAACCTGACCTCATGAGCAGTAAAACATGTATTACAAGGCAGGATAATAAAGATAAATGGAGAAGATTAACCTGGAGATGAGGGCAAGGAAGCAGGGAGGGAAGAAAGAGAATGGAGAGCTCATGAGGTACCTGGAGCTCGCAGCATCCCCTGACTTTTGCAAAGACGTGCTAAGGGCTGGGGAAGGTGGAGAAGAGTATGAAAAGGGACACTGAGGGGAAAAACACAAAGCTCAAGCCAGAAGACAGACCCTAGGAAGGAGTCCCTCCGCATAGGAACACAAAGGGAGGACTGGCCATGCTGCAAGAACCCCTGCTGAGAGTCTTACAGGTGTTAAAAGCCTCAACTCCAAACATTAACTCCAGCCCTAAGGCTGAGACAGCAATAAACTGTTCAGCTCAGCGATGGCCAGAGCTGCACTAACCATGCGTCTTTGCACCCTTCACGAAGAAAAGCAGGCACCACCAAAATGTCAGTGGTAAGGCCTACAGAAGGCACTTAAGTTTCTCCACCGGCTGCACATGGAGCAGAAGCACCTTGTAGGTTTTCTAACTCTCTCTGCCAAGCTAGGTGTCTGTTGCCTAGCTGTTGCACGCTCTGCGTGGGCACCCATAGCCGTGGTGAATTCCAGCTGGAACAGGCTCAGTTTCTGGTGGGGATGAAAGTCAGGCTCTTTGATCACTAGCTGCTTTTGAAGATGCCTCCAGCAGAGCAAGGGATACAGCCAGTTACTAGACAAGAGCTGCAGCACGCACCTCACCTACAGCGCATGTGCACATTCAGGCTTTGGTGGGAGCATGTCTCTCTTCTTTGACCCTGTTTGCCCTGTCCCTCTCCTCTCTTCCCCAGGTTAATCTGCTCTGACGAATGGAGGTGGCAACCTGAAAGCCACCTCTGTCTCACAAGCACAGCCCAGAGACCGGACTGGGCTGTGGTCACCTCATCTCCCAGAAGAAAACCCCACCAACAGCACACAGAGAGCAAAGAGAGGACTCAGTCCCCAGAGTTGGGATATCGGAGCTCCAACATAGCCACAGCTGAAGAGCCGAGCAGTCCCATCTGTACCGTGCACAAGCGTGAGACGTCAGCCACAGCCACAAGAGCAGTCCTTGCATTGGAGAGACCACCGCAGCACTGGTACCTGTCCTGTCCCTGCGATGCACCCCCAGCCCCTCTCTCGCACTCTCGGCACTCACCCGGCCGCAGGACCCTGATTTCCAGCAGGTTGGAGGTCCTGTCTGCCAGCCGCGTCCAGCTGCTGTTGTAGTTCTTCCTCCAGAGCTCAGCCACGCACTGATACTTGCCGGCCTCCGTGTCGCTCGCCCTGCTGATGCTCAGGCGCACGTTGTTGCTGGACTCAGCCTTCTCGATGGCAGTGCGGGTCCGGAAACCCGCGTACCTGTCGCCCCACTGGACCCCGCCGTCGCGCGTGAAGGTGACCAGGTCATGAAACTCAGTGCTGCCTGCCGGCTGGAAACGCCACGTCACCGACACCGGTACCCACGATGGGTAGTGGGGCTTGATGATGCACTGGAGGTCGAAGGACTCGTTGTAGGTCACGCCGGGGGTGCGGGAGATAGCTGTGACAGCAAAGCCGGCCTCTGTGGAAAGAGGGAAAAGAGCTTTGAGAGACACCTGCCCAACGAGGCCCTGCTGTTAGGATGCAAAAGCTAGAGCGTGGTCATCCAGTCACGGGCCCGGAATAATCAGCCACTCGTGTTGTGTTGGCTCCTTGTTTGCAATTGGAAGGTGGCGTGAAAAGCAGTGGCAAAACCACACTTCAGTGCCTGCGTAGTGGTGACTGCCTGCGTGAACGCTGGCTGCAGCAGCAGCAGCAGGATCACACTCGATTTCTGCCCAGAGGAGTGAGATCCCCCGAGACCCGGCAGGCGAGCAGCCAGCCTCGGCACGCTGCCAAAGCCCCACACGGACTGCAGCTCGTTGCCGCAAGTGAAAGAAAGAGGAGGAAAGCGAGAAGTAGCAGCCTCCGTTCGTGCATCGGAGAGTTGGCAGCAGTTATGAAGCCCCAGGATGGAGGCAACTGAAAGAGAGAGAAGCCGGTTGCTCCTGTTCTTCACACAGCACGGCTTTTGTTCTTTTTTTTTTTTTTTTTTCTCTTCCAGATCACAGCTCCAGGACGGCTTTATGTGGGTATCCTTGCATGTGCACCACTCCACAAGCCGGTCAATATGTTTTCACTCATCTACCCCCAGCACTTTGTTGGTTTAAGGGAGTTTAAAACCAGCAGCCTATTAGTAATTTGAAGATAACATATCCCCAGTCGACTGGCTTACATTTTGGGTCAGGGCATTTCCATTGCTCATTTGTTCCGAGCTGCAGAGAGAAAATATTTTCCTCTCTTCCAGTCACTTCAGTGCAGCCAGCAGATTTAGCAGCGACCTTTGTTTTCCACCAACAACACCCCCAAGAAGCACTCCCTTCCTGGGAGGCTCCGCGGGGTGTCCCACGCCGGCTGGCAGCTCTCCTCCCTCCCTGGCAGCGCTGACCATCCTGGCAGCCGGCACAGCCACTGCCCGAGAGGAGAGCCCGGCCAGTGCCCAGCAGAAACAGGAATGTCCTCTGGATCAGTGCAGAGCTTCAGCTCACCGCCGGCCTGGAACTGCAGATCAAGGCTCACCGCAGCCCACAGAGCTGCTGCCATGGGCCAGACCAGCCACAGCACAGGCACTGCCGTATCTGCACGCTTCCAGCAAGTGCCTCAGCAGACCCACAAGAATACAATAGTCTGTCTGTCCTGTCCCATCCCCCATCTGCCCCCTTCTTCCCCAGCCAGCCAGAGACTGAGGTCCCTGCGGGGCACTAGCGATCCTCAGAAGTTCAGAGACATCAGGTCTCATCTGACAGCACATCTCTCTTCTGGCTACTGCTTCTGAACCACCCTGTAGACAGATTTATGGATTTGAACATCATCTGTGGTGGTTCAGCTAAAGAGTTTCTTACCCTGGCAGACTGGCAAACGATTAGACCTTAACTTGAAATGTGAGTGTCACTAAATTTACCACATTTTTTTTTTACTAGCAATTTCTGTAGCCATAAACCTCTCTTCCTCTTTCTTAGCACCTTCTATTTGAGTTTTTCAGGACACTTCCAAAACATTAGCTGAACAAAAAATATCAGATTCAGCAGCAATGAAACAGTACACAGTGTGTTTTCTCCACTAAATTTTCACGAGCTGCTTCAGCTTTGCTAGTTATAGCAAGACGGCCCAGGAATTTCTTACGACTTGTCAGAACATGCTCAACACGACAGCAGCTCCTCAGTGATTTCTCTGGGACAAGGAGAGGAGGAGGAGGGACAATTACCTTTCCATCACATCTTCTGGAACCGCTGGGCAATTCTGAGCAATTTAAATTTTAACAAGAGTATAAGTGATACATTTTAAAATCTCAACACTTAATCTCAACACTTCTACAAGTGGTAAATAAAAGGGCCAACACATGGACTTACAGCAGGCCAAATGCCTGACCTCATGAGGAAGATGCTGTTGAAACCACATAAGAATCTGCATTTAGTTCTTTACAAACTAACGCCCCTGCCTGCTTTTTGAAGCTATATAGCAAAGATTTCTAACTCCAGACAGAACAGCCTCTGAAAGAAGGTCAAAAGTGAAGGGGAGGAAAGGAGGAAAAAAGCAAGATTTTAATCAGAATATGATACAACTTTGTAGTCTGGTCTCTCACATATCTTGCCAAAGCTTATGATTAATACTGCAGAGAGCCAAAAAAAAAACTCCGGCCCCAAAAATTCCTGTCTTGACCTTTCAGTAGAGCTCCCCATTTGTTTATAGCCCTGTCATTCCACAAATCAGTGGCCTCATAGGAGCAGTCACCCTTTCTTCAATCTCCTGTAGAGCATTTTGGGAACTAGTCCAGGTCTTAACACAGCAGGTCCCTGAATGGGAACAAAGAAATTCACAGTCTGTGAAAAATCCCTAATGCCCTACCTGCCCTCTCCTAAACTGATGTGGTTTCACTGTGTTTGAAATGGAGGAGCTCTTTGGCAGAGCAGAATACCAGCTGCAATGATCCCAGGTCCTAGTTCAGCTTGGTCATGGACAACGTTGTGGTTCCTGGCCAGCAGCTCAGTGCCTCCTTGCAGAGGCAGTGAGGACCATTCTTGACCCGTATCTTCTGCAGGCTTCTGATGCCATCAGAGACACTCGCCATTTCTGGTGGCTGGGCCAACAGATGCCCAGTGTTCTGCTCTCCTGGTCTGGCGAGTGGAGGTAAGGTTGACCCAGGGGCAGGCAAGGAGGCTTCGATACCCACGGGCTGCCGACGGAGCACCATCGCTGCACTGCCCACAGCCCGGCTCCAGCCCTGGGGAGACACGTCGTGGGGCTGGCAGCCTCTCTCCTCGGAAGGATGCTGGAAGCATTGCCCCTCTCCTTAGCCACCCTGTGCTTTGCTCCTGCCACAGCCACCCCTCAGACTTTGCCCCCACACACAACGGGGCAAGGAGGCATTTCGCATCAGCCTACCGGGAGCTGCGGCCAGGCTGCTGGGTACCTCCATTTTGCCGGCAAGCAAGGGCGGGAGTGCCAAGAGCAGCCCCAGTTATTTGCAGGTGCCCTCCTGGGGTGGGCTGGGCATGCAGGTAGCACAGCCCCATGGCCCCTGTGCCTCGAGTACTCACCCAGAGCAGTGATGGACACCGGGGTGCCTGCGTGCCGCTCCCCAACCATCTGCCACTCCCCATCCAGCGTCCGCGTCCACTCAGCCACCCGGCACTCGTAGTGGCCCTCGTCCGCCTTGACGCTGTTGAAGATCTCCAGGGTGAAGGAGCCGGGCCGGACCTGCTCCACCTGGATGCCCCCATAGCTGCTGCGCTCGGCGTACGAGGGGCCCGGCTGCAGGGTGCCCTCCCGATCCAGACGCACAATTTCACTGCGCCGGTTTAGCTTGTCCACCAGCTGCCAGGCGAAGGAGAGGCGGCTTTGGGGCACGAAGCCCGAGCGCACGTTGCAGCCAAAGCGCAGGCTCTCCCCCTCCAAGACATTGCTGGCGTTGTTGATAATCTCCAAGGAGATGCTGGTCTCTAAGGAGAGAAACGCATACACACAGGGGAGATGATACACACTCGCCACTTCTTGGTCTGCAAGAAGGACGCTGCCGGCCAGAGAGGCTTTCTACCAGGTGCAGGAAGCTGCCCACACATTTGGGTCCAGGCATGTCTTAACCTCATGCGTGACCACATCCAAAACCAGCTTGTGGGCAGCAAGCTGCTCCTGGTGACTAACACAAAGCCGGTGTAGGCCAAAGCTGGGAGAAATCTCTCTGCCTATAGCTCACAAGACATTGCCGCATCTTCTGGTCGCAGGTCCAGGATGGGATCTCAGCAAAACTTGAGGGAATTTGTGTTGCTACAATGTGCACCGCATGCAACCAGCTCTGCCAAAAAAGGCTTCCAGCTCCCTGGGCTTTTTAATTCACGTCATCCCAATCACCATCTTGCCACATCCATTCTTACAACAACTTTTGGGAGAAGCTCTCCCAAACTCCCATCGCTAGTGACACCAGAGTTAGCTATCAGTGTTTGGTAACATCAAAAAAACCTGGTATCCTGAGCTTCCCAGAGATGTAAGGCTTTACAGCTGGTTTTTCAGTGATACTGAGTGCTGGTTAATCCTGCTGTCTTCTGTTGGAGTTATGGATACTTAGCACCCTTGAAAAATCATCACATTTGTTCCTAGAGCTGGTGATTTATCAAATGGCAAGAATGAAATCTGTCTGAAAGGTGGCCGTGCCTAGAAGTACTACATTTTAGACATTTTTCCAGTGCAAGATTTCTAGCTAGAGTGATTTTCAAAGCCAAACAAATGAGACCAAATACTGGTAGGAGAGAACAGAAATAGAATTTCTTTTGGAGAAATGAGGAGGGGAAAAAAAGGCAAGAGGAAAGGGCTGTGTTCCCCTACAAACCTAACAGATAGGAAACAAACACCGCACAAAATCCTCTTGCAGCTACCCTCTGCTTGGCCAAAGCCCACTGCCAGGGTAGCCTGGGCAACACACGCATGGTTCATCACGCCACAGCTACCTGAGTTTCAGAGAGCAAAACAAGGAATGAGTCAGGGGACTCTCTCCTCTCACCCTGTTATTTCTGTATTTATCACGTTTGTCTCACAAACATAAAAGGCATTCAGGCAAGCCTCCAGCAGGGTTGTTCTCACCAGGGTTGGAAGACACACAGTGACCATGACAGAGCTCCACGCTGAAGAGCAAACTGGGCCTCAAGGAGCATGTGAACCTTAGTTTCTCCCAGCACAGCTGTCTTGCAAGACAGCTCAACATCGGCCACTGAACGGCCTGCAGGAACCTAGCAGCTCTCAGGATAAACCAGGGCCAAGCCGGTCTCCCCATTACACCTGCAGAGCGCTTGAGAGCACCCAGCTCCCTGCAGAGCAAGGTGAGGACAGAGGTGTGAGGAGCAAGTCAGACGCTGTCACACGCACACTTAGCTCAAGGGCAAAACCAACAGCTTGGTGCCATTACCAAGGTGGGGCATGTTTTCCCACCTACAAACCTGATACATATCGCTCCTTCTTTATCTCCCTCCTCCCACCAAAAAAAAATAAAATATAGCCAGTTGGGATTTCAAGCCCCGCCATCCTCCCTCTTCCCCATCACCGAAGTCTGAGGACATCATGGCCTCATCAACTAACTGCCCAGTAGAGCAATGGCCCCAGGAGGGGAAGGTCAAGTCTCTACTTACTGAGCGGCAGGACAGCGATGGGGATGTTCTTTGGCCGCTTGCTCTCCTTGTCGATGAAGTCCCCTGTCACGGTCTTCTCCCGCTCAGTCACCCGGCAGTTGTACTTGCCACTGTCCTCAAGGCGGAGGCGGTAGATCTTCAGCACAAAAACGTTGTCGCTTTCTTTGGCTACCTTGAGCTGGCCCAGGGCCTCACGCTGGGCAAACTCGTTGTTGAGCACCGGCACGGCGTTGGGCCCCAGGCTGGCGATGAGGGAGCTGTTGAAGGCCCAGGAGATGGAGAAGTAGCGATCAGGGACGTTCTGCGCCTCCAGGATGCACCGAAACTCCACCGGCTCACCCACGATGTACGTCCGCTTCTCCGTCTCCAGTCGCACGCTGAACTCCTTATCTGGGGGAGAGACAGACCAACTCACGTCAGCGTGGCAAAGCCCACCGGGACAGCCAGCACTTCTCGTGCGAGGTATTTACTGTGCGCAGTCCACATCCCTCGGATGTGTGCATCCGCAGGTGGAGGGGCGAGGGGCTGGCTTTTGCTGCGAGAGCCCGATCGGCCACGCTGCAGGAGAGCCAGCTTGCTGCCCAGCATGCACGAGCTGCAAGGCCTCCCCAGCCTTAGCCCTCTCCCCCGGCCACTGCTCCCGGGAGCAGCTCTGCTGCGACACCAGCATCCAGCGGCACTGTGGGATGCGAGCTGGAGCCCAGCCCTACTCACACCCTGCTCAGCTGTGGTCAAGAGGCAGGGCCTTTGGGGATAGCAGAGAGGAAGAAAGAGCTCAGCTGGGTCTTTAGATCCTTAGCAGAAATCCGTGCTGTGGGCTGGGAGAAGGATTTTGACTTGCAAATGGACCTTGTGCAATACAGAAGTACTTGCTGAAAGTTTTTGGTTTATTTTCTGCTGTGCCACTCTTCTCTCCTTGCTTAGTAAAATTTTCATTGCCTGTGCTAGCACCAAGTGCTTAAGTTGTACGTCTTACCTCTTGTGTCAGGAGACAGAGGCTGCCATCCAAGCCCCCCTTTCGCCCCAGCGTCCCCTGGTCGCTGTGTGCTGACACCTGCCCAGCCCGCAGGCAGCGCTTGGGCCCTCCTTCACCCTGCCAGCAGCCTCCTGGGCAGGCACACAGCGTAGGAGGGAGCTGAGACCCACCCAACAAAGCGCAGCCCTGTTTTCCACCTCCTCCCGCCACCCAAGAAATGCAGAGGAGACACTGACCGGTGGCTTGCACGTTGACAATGGCGCCCTGGGAACGCTTGCGGGTCATGGCGTACCAAGACTTGTCCGGGTCCTGGATCCACTCCGCCGCCTCGCAGTAAAACTCGCCCTGATCCGCCGGGTGGAGGTTGTAGATGGTGAGCTTTGAGGTGGTCTCCCCGACTTTGTCCAAGCGGACGTCCCCCGTGGCCTGCCGCTGGGCGTAGGCGTTGCCAGCCCGCAGGACGAAGTCACGGCTGAGGGAGATGACCTCGCCTCGCTGCCTCGCTGCCGGTACCAGGCGATGGAGACGTGGCTGTGCTGGGCTGTGCTCTTGGACACTTCGCACTTCAGCTCCAGGGAGTCGCGCTCCACTTTGTTCAGTGTCTGAGGGACGGCCGTCACTCGCAGCGAGTCGGGGATGACTGCAGCGAAGAGGGACGGGGAAACACAGGCCGAGAGTTAGCAACGTTGAGTCTACAGCCCAGACACGTTACAGGAGAGCTGGGGACAGGTTTCCTTTCATGGCTGTAATTAATCATGAGGTATTAGCAAAGCCCTGGTGGCTCACATCTAGACCCGCAAAAGTGGAGGATGGTCCCCAAAGCCCTTGGCTGGGAAAGACCGCGACCGGCAGCACGTACTCTGGTGCTGAACTTAAATTCCCGCTCAATGGCCCCAGTGACCGCACAGGGCTTTCCACCACGTTGCAGAGCAGCACAGCTTAATGCACCTGCATCCCACTGAGGCTTTTTGTCACCAGTGGCCTCTCCTTCATTGTGTGCCCCCCCTAGCATGCTTCGTGACCCCCTCCTGCCCGCAGCCTCCAGCCCCTCCTTAGCCCTGGCATGGTCTTGGACCCTCAGACACTGGTGGGGCGAAGCTAAACATATTCAGTTCCTTTAATCTCTCCTCATAAAAAAGTCAGGAGATCCAATTCCCCTCTCCTTTGTTTATATGGTTTTGTGTTTTAATGACCCCTCAGGCCATATGAAGGGGTTTCTGCACTGGGAGGGAAGTGGCTCCTCCGAGGGCAGCAATGCAATCGCATCCCACCCTGAGCCCGCTCCTGGGACACAGCCACTTCAAGGCACTTTGTAATGAAACTGCTGGCTGCTTCTCCAGTTGATTAACTGGAGGAAAGGAAGCACAGCTGGTAATATCAGGATGAAAAAAAAAAATGCATCCCCCCAATCTTCCTTGATTTTAGCAAACATCTTAATTTTAGCAAGACGTTCTACCACTAGAAGACAGACTTACTTAAAAAGAAGCCTTACTACACTTTGATGTCTCAAGAAACGCCACGTGGAAAGAAGAATGCAAACCTTCTCCCCAGCTCTACAGACAAGGCAGCATTAGTAAGCCTGTTCATGCCCATGGTTTCGCCGTGTACCGGTGGAATATAATTAACATATCTCAGTTTGGTTTCATTGACAGCACTGGAAGGTTTGACGAAATTAGATGAGCTGCCAAAATCTGCATCTGTTTCATTCAAGCACAGCTACAGAAAGAATGAGCTGCAGTGAAGACAACCGCTGGGATTATTTATGGCAGAAAAGTCAAAAGCAGAACAAGGGAACGAAAAAAGTCACGAGATGGAGTAAACGATGGAAATCTTCCCACATCCAGCCCAGATGAGAGCATTTGCTTTTACCCATGTGCTCATTACCCAGGGAATTTACTGCCCCTGACAGGGAAAGTACCTGGCAAGGCCATTTACATCGCCGGCCATTGCCCCTGTCCCTGCAGCCACGTGTCCTCCTCCCTCTCTTCCGCTCATCTTCCTTGCTGGGGCTCCCGTCCCCTGCACACCGGTGACAGCCTCTGGCAGACCACGGCCAGGAGCCCACCTCACTTCGCCTTTCTCCCTTCCCTCCACCTCCCAAACCAGTGAACCAGTGGTGACAGCACTAACTAACCTTGCCAGTTCACACCGCCTGCACGATGAGATTTAAATTTCTCATTTCAAGCCTTTCTGAATGATTTCCAGAGCCACACAGCTCCCTTCTCTCTTCCCTCCAGCCACAGGCTCTTATAACTGTTTTTACATTATTTCAATAGATTAAACCTGACGACCATCCTGCTGGAGTCACTTTTCTGCTGAGCTGCTTCAAAGGCAGGGCTCCCTGCTAGACCAGCCTCCGCGCGACAAAAGCGAAAGCGGGTATCTGTGAAGAAAAGCCGCCTGCCCTCCCTCCCCGATCCGAGAGCCCCGGGTACCCCGCTGGGTGCCTGTGTGCCCCCCCAGCCCTGCGAGGCAGCATGGCTGCGCGCGAGGACGTGCCCGGCGCACCCC